TATGATTCTTTTTTCACACCCATGCTTTACTGCAGCATGATAAATTAATCCTCTGTCAGGGGCTGTGAACTTGATTTCTTTCTGATTTTTCTTTCTTCTTTTTGTTTCTTCTCATGCTGGCATGTCTGTTTCTTCTCTCCTGCCATCTTCAATGTGTAACTCCCCCTCTCCCAGCTATATCACTTTGATTTTTCCTTTGCATTTGCTAGATATTTTAGTAAAATGTTGGAGCATTTCTGATGGCACTTTTCATAAAGATTTTTGTGACTTACATGCAGTAGTATTTGGGGATATCCACTTGATTTTTCTTTGTTGTTGGGAACATACATCTGAGTAACACCTGATGAATGCTCTGACTTTTTAATGATTGATGAAGGCTGTCACCAGGTGTCAAGAACTTTCCAAATGATACTGATTATTGGCCTCAATTGCAAGTAATTCCTTATCCTTTGCTTTGTAGTTTGTTTCCATGTGTATTGTTTGGCATGAAGAGTAGGGGCCAAGCAAGTACGCAATTTCTGAGGTTAGGTCTTTTTTGCATTAATGCTGTCCCCATGACCTCCTCTAATACACCAGTCTCTACAAAAAAAAAAAAAAAAAGTTTTGGCACCATAATAGGAATGCCAGCACAAAAGTTTCCAAGACTTGAAAGATGCCTTCTTCATTTTGTCTCTAAAGAAATTTAGTCTCTTTTCTTAAAAAGCCAGTGCAAGAACTTTGTGAGCACCCCACTGAAAAAAAGTCTCGTACAAGTTTGCAGTTTCAAGAAAATGTCAGTCAATGTATATAGCCTGCATATAACCTGGATTCATTCCAGGTCTTCCTATTCTAAAATGAATCCTAAAAGTGTTACTTTAGGCTTTTAAAAGGCCATTTCTCCATCTTATCATTCAAGCAATGGTGCCATGCACTAATTCATTCTTCCTTTAGGTGAGAGACTTGTACAAAAATATTGAAAATGTCAATATAAATAAGATTATCATAGAATCATAGAAGATGCTTACAGCCTAAAAGAACGTCAGTGACCATCTTACCCAACCTGTACGTGACCCTCTTAAAACGTTCCTAACAAGTTTTGTTTCTAATCCAATCCAATAAACATGAATTATTTAATTCTTTCCTCTGTCAAGGTGGGCTACAGTATACCCCTACAACAATATTGCTTTTTGTTTTTGACTTCTTTGATCCTTAATCAGACATTTTCTCTAGTATTTCCCCCGATTCCTGAATTTCCTTGAAGATATTAATGTTACCCAAGTGCCATTTTTTTCCTTTTCAATAAAGTATAACTTTCTAATACCAAAATCTGGTCATGAGTCTCATGACATTGTGTCAGTGATAACCTGTAAAGTCAAATTTTCTCCCTTGACTTTGTTGATCAGCCTTCAGTCGCATTTGACACTTTGTGACCCCATGGACCACAGCATTCCAGACCCTTCTGTCTTCCACTATCTCTTGAAGTCTATCCAAGTTCATGTTCCCTTGACTTAGGACTTCTAATTCTCCCTGTTAATAAACACCTGTACTTTGTGCATTAACTACCTGAGGCAGTAGATTTTATTGCTTCCTCTCTTAGATATTATCTTTCGTGAATTACACGTCATCTTTTCCATTCTTCTTCCTCCTCCGTTGTACTTATTATTATAATAGCTCTCCATGATTATAATAACAATAACTAACATTAATATATTACTTTAAGGTTTACACAGAACTTTATATACATAAATCTATGCATATATTACCTCATATATACAAAAATGTCTATATACATATATTTATGTATAGGTGTATATTTTTATATAAACACATACATATATATCTCATTGGATCCTTACAACAGTGTGAGGTGTTACTGTTATCTCCATTTCTCAAGTGAGGAAACTGAGGCTGAAAGCAGTTCAGTGTCTTGCTCAGGGTTACACAACTGGTGTCTGGTCTGAGGCAGGATTTTAACTCAGATGTTCCTGACTTCCACTGTACCACTGAGATGCCTATCAATTTTATGTGGGCAGATTTCTCCAGAAGGAAAAACTGGTACATCAGAGGAGATAGTCAGTCAACAACCATTTATTAAGTATTTATTGTGTACTCTGCTAAGGGCTGAGGCTATAAACAGAGGCAAAAAAAAAGCATTCTCTGCCTCCAGGAAGCTTACATTCTAATTGGGCAAGACAGCATACAAACAATTTTGTACATAGAAGATATATACTGTGTGAATGGAAAATAGTCTCACAGTAGGGAGTACTAGCAGTGGGGAGCACTAGAAAAGACCTCCAGAAGAAGACGGAATTTAAGCTGATTCTTGAAGGAAGCCGGGAAAGAGAGGTGAGGAAGGTGAGGAGAGGAGAGTACTCTAGCCATGGGGGACAGCCAATGAAAAGGCATAGTACTGGAGGAAGCGAGGAACAGCAAATAAGCCAATGTAACTGGGCTGTAATATGGAGGGGAGTAAAGTTTAAGGGAAACTGGTGCCAGGCCATTATCTCGCCTAAGTGACTTAAGCTGGTATTCATTATGGCCAAGTCTAGTGTGGAAGACTCCTTTCCTCTTGTGCCTAATTCTGACTCTCACCAGATTCAGTTCTCCCATAAATCCTACTTAATATAAATGCCAGCCCCTGTACCCTGCCCTCAGGATATTTGAAATGAGAAATGGATGGAAGTTATAGACATAGTTACTTCATTGAGCCTGTTGCAGTTAATGCAGGATCACACCTCCCTTCCTTAACTGGGGAGAAGGAACAGGAAAATCTCAATCAGCCATTGTTAACATCACCCAAATCCCTTCTATAGATTGTCTTGAATAGATACTCAGAAAGTTCGCTTCTCTTGCTTATTTAAAGTTTAAATCAGCTCACAGGATGAAGATGTCCTAAGAAGGTAATTGATTAGGCAATTGGACCTGGTTAGGGTAGCAACTAATCTAGAGTTATCCCTTTACTGAACAAATCTTGTGATCCTCTCATCCTTTGGAGTTATCTGGGTTCCCTAGCCTTTAATTATAGGTAGTAGTCCTAGAGATGGTGTCCAGTAGGTCTCAGAGTCTGCTTGAGATGGTTGCTACTTGGAGAAACTACACCAGTCTACATCCTATTCAACATGAGATTTTGTATTATGGTAACTGTGGCAACCCAGACACCACAATATTGCCACCTTACTTTAAATTATGCCCAGAACTCACATCTCCAGAAATCATTTGAATGAGGATGAATAGAGATTAAAGCAGAAATAATTTTATGATGGAAACATAACTATAGACTGCCCACCCAGGAAAAGGAAATAAATGATGAGTTGTCGAAGCAGATGATAAAAGAGGAACATAGGCATGATTTGACCATGATGAGGGACTTTGCCTATCTAGACATCTTCTAGAGCTATTTCTGCTCAACATGAAAGACATAATACTTCTTCAACTATATGATTTTATTGATGGAGGTTGGTTTATCACAGTGCTTCTTGTGGGTCATGACTCCATATGGGGTTATGTAACTGAATATGGGGGTTGCAAAAATTTGGTAACATAAAAAGATTTCTGAACATGCAGCAACCAAAAATTAGTTCAAAATAAAAATTCAAAGATGAATTTTATGGACTGTCCATTAAATAGCAAGCACCTTCTAGTCTGGACTGTAGGCATTCTTCATTCACTTGGATTTTTGCTTTGTGAATTGTTAAGCTGAAGTCTTTTGAGTAATTGTGAATCTTGTAAGTTCTACAGTGTTCTGGGTCTTAGTGCAATCAACACAATGTCATGTGCAAATAGATACTATCTGGAGGACTTCACATACTGTAGGGAAATCCTTTAGAATCTGTACTGGACATCCTCCGTGATAATGGCAAATACCTTTAACAAATTCATTCCATCTCTGCCTCCACCTCTTAGCCTCTCTAACTTTCTTCAAGGATCAATTTGTGACTTACATCCTATGATGATAATAATAACCATTATTATTACCGATAATTATTACCAATCATAATTATTGGTAATAATAATAGCTAGCATTGCAAATGATGGTTTAAAGTTTGAAAAGCACTTCATATAAATTGTTTCATTTTATCCTCACAACAATCTTGGGAGATAGATGCTAGAATTGTACTATTTTACTGATGTAGAAATTGAGGCAGACAGAGGCTAATCGACTTACCCAAAATCATGCAGCTATTAAGTGTCTGAGGCCAGATTTGAATTCAGGTCTTCTTGATTCCAGGTCTAGTGCTCCTACCTGCTGTGCTGCCTAGCTGCCTAGGGCAGTCCCTCTATTTTTTAATGCTCTCTCTTTTCTCAAATGATCTTGTATATGCTTATCTGTTTATGTGTCATTTCTTTTTTTTTATGTGTAATTTCTTGAGGGTAGAATGTAAACTTCCAAACAGGGGCTGATTTTGTCTTCTATCTTTATATCACTGGACTGTGGCAATGTACCTCACTTAATAAGTATATGTGAAATTGGATTGAATTGAATATTACTATTAATAATCAAGAAATAGTTGAGCAAAATGATCTGTGTTGTTGATCTTACCAATGATGCTAGTGTGATTTAATGCATTTTCTTTCATGAAGTAAATGAAGAAGGGGATCATAATATCTGCCTTTGAATATCTGAAGGACTGTCACATTGAGGAGATACTAGACATTCTGGGTCCAGAAGCTAGAGTGATGGTCCTGGATAAAAGTGACATGGAGGCAGGTTTCAGCTAGATATAAAATCAAGGAAGTTAGAGGAGTCTGAAAGTAGAAAGATGTCAGGAGTCTGTAACCACCGGGTCCATGTGTACATGAAAGGATTCCACCAATCTGTGACTCAAGTGTATCCCAGGGGATCAGGAAAGCACAAGAATATGCTGTGAAAGATGTATCTGTCACTAATATTTTGACACAGAGACATCACTGCTCATCGTTTTGATATATTCTGTGCCTGTTGCAGTTCTGTATGATTGAATTATGATCAATACTGACATTATACTGACCTCTTTTTTATTTTTAAATTAAATTTCCAACAGATTCAGTGGCAACAGCCTCTGGGCCACTGCTTGTTGAAGTTGCCAAAACCCCTGGTTCCAGTCTTGGTGTTGCACTGAGTACCTCAATGTGCTGCAACAAACAGGTCATCATCATCGACAAAATCAAATCTGCAAGTATTGCCGACAGGTGAGTGTCCATGAAGATGCTTCATCTTCCAAACTGCATGACAAAAACAACAAAAACCAAAGAAGCAAATGAAAAATAAAAATCAAGTTTCCTTGCCATTTTCTACAAGTTTTGTTTAGAGAGACAAGTCACTGTTGTTGGGTCTTAAAATTTACCTACCCTACCAGTTATCCCATGGTGGAAGTCTCAGTTTAAGGATTCTCCCCAGATATTTGGTTTGGCCATTGGTACAGTTTTTTTAAGTCTTTTTTTTAAAGAAACAAAGCAAAGTCTCCTACCATGCATTGCCACATAAACCTTCTATTATTTCCATGGAGAAGTCAAGCAGCTCTTTGTTTGTGATGTAGCATGCAGTGAAGTATCCAAAAGAGTTAAACCCTATAGCCATGAAATCTTATTATTTTCTTTAAATGAAAAAAAAATTGACTACCTGGCTGGAATCCTTAAAGAAAAGCCTTGCACTGGGAAACAGCTGTCATGGTGTGTTAATCTTAAGGTTTTACAACCTTGAAGTGTCCCTTTAAGCTGCATTTCTCATTCCTACAACACAATAAAAATGAAACTCCTTTACCTTAGGTTTTTTTCCCCTTCTAATTAATATTTTAGAATGTTGCTGAAGTTGATGGGAGAGAAAGACTGGTTTCCCACCTACAAAATCATTTTACAGTTCCTGATAAGAAAGACTTCATTTCTTCCATTTGGAGTGACCCAGTATATCCAAATGAAATTATATTTACAGATGGAAAGGATGATTAAAAATACTTTTTGCCCTGAGAGGTAGGCTACTAAAGCTGTGGAATAATTTTTTTTAATTTTATTTTAAAATATGCTTTAGGAGCCAGGCTCTTATACATATTCCTAGCTTTTTTATCCCTACACCCCAGTTCTTCCCAGTATTGCCTTTTACAGCAGGGCAGTGAGCAGTAGCCTTCTGTAGTGGTCAGTCTATAGCTCCACTGTGGTCTTACCCTACATTAAAGCCTTTTTTTTTTTTTTTTTTTGGCTAGGCAATGGGGTTATGTGACTTTCCCAGGGTCACACAGCTAGTAAGTGTTATTTGTCTGAGGCCGGATTTGAACTCAGGTCCTCCTGAATCCAGGGCCAGTGCTCTATCCACTGTGCCACCTAGCTGCCCCATTAAAGCCTTTAACAGCCATTGATCCAGTTCAATGGTGCAGGATGCTTTAATTTTCTCTCTCTGTCTTTGTTTTTTTTTTTTTTCTCCCCATTCCACAGAGGGTAACTAGTTAAAGGAGCTGTCCACTTGACTGGTACGTCGGGATGCTGACTGCTGTGTTTGCATTTCTCAACTCATCCAGTAGCCAGTTTCTTGAGTGCAGCAAGATGTAGCAGCTAGCCCCCCTTCCCCTTGTCCCAATTTTCCCCTCAAGTCACCATGCCAGCCCTGGTTTCATGACTTGTCTGAATCTTGCATAATTTCCATCATCATTTACGGTTTCTGTTCCAATAAATGTTTAGCTTTGGAATAACAAAACAAAAAGAAAATGGTGAACTGGGTGTTTGTGTAAGAGTCTTACCTAATATTTCCACCAGGTTGTTCTCGTTATTCTATTATCATTTACACATATATTATTAGTCAGCTACCCCATTCCAATTCTTTGAGTAATGTCTTGCGTTATTATGTACTTACCAACTCTTACTTTGAGATATGAAGGCCTAAGGGAAGAAAAACAAAAAATTCAGGGGGAAGGAGAGAAAAAAGATGTTTTTCTAAATTATTTCCATGTATCTTCCCCCCCATAAAAATTGGAAAAGAATGTGAAAAATACATTGTTTTCCTGAATTTTTCCATTTTTCCCAAGTCTTCATGTCTCTATTTGTCTATCAGGTTTGCATTAAAAGACTTAAAAGTTGATATTGGATGACTCTTATAACACTTGAATTTTTCCTTTCTTTTTTAAAAGATAACAAATATCTCTTGTAATTTGCATGAACAGTTTGAAAGAACTAAAAGTCACATTCCAAACAGGGGCCATACTTTATATTTTCCTTTGTGTAGATGTGGTGCATTGCATGTTGGAGATCATATTCTTTCCATCGATGGAACTAGCATGGAATATTGCACCATGGCTGAAGCAACACAATTCCTTGCCAATACTACAGACCAGGTCAAGCTTGAGATCCTTCCCTATCACCAGACTCGAGTAGCACTGAAGGGACCTGACCATGGTAAGAGGATCTGTTTGGATGAATCTCCTTGTCGCTCTTTTTTTTTCCCTCACAGTTACTGCTTTGTCCAGGGGAATTAGAAATTGGAATGGAGCTGATATGGAGTCTGTCTCCATTCTTTTCAGTTTTATAAGTTAACTCATTTGTTGTCCCAGTGCCTTGCCCATTGCCTGGCACATAGTAGGAGCTTAATAAATTCTTGGTGATTGATTGTTTATTGATAATCCTTCATCTGACAAATACCCCTTTTCAAGTTGTATGTGGTTTGCTGGAATATACCCTCATGGAAATTCATAAAATTGAGGCATGAAAGAGTTTTAAGAGTGTTTATTAAATTTTGTTTAATGTAAAACGAAGTCCCCAAGGCCAATGGAGCAGGTGGAAGGGAGCCACTTAGCATTTTTAATTCTGGATTTCCTTCCTAAAAATAAAACAATGAATCTACAAAAGGCACACCTGAATGTGTGTTTTGACAGCATTACAGTGGATTTCAATATTCCTTCATAATTCATAAGGAGAGCATCTAAATGTTCCTGCTTCAAAGAAGTCATGGAATTAGTCTTCATTCCTTGTAGAATATTCTATTTCCCAGAGTTTCAAAAGCATGACTGGTGTGCTCTCAAATATTCAGAGCCGAGGAAGAAGAGAGGCACCCCCTTGTCAGGTCTGGTCACATCTCTGAAACCTTTTCTTCTCAGGATGATAGAGAAACTGTCCCTACCCAGATTGGACACTACATTGCCTGACAGTGGACAATTCACCAGCTATATATTCTGGTGAAATCAAGAACTGCAAAGTTTACTAATAGGGCCAGAAACTGGATCTCTGATTTGATTGATATAAATAACTCCAGGTTATCAAATGCACCTTGGCACTTTCTGAACAACCAATTGGCTTCAAGAGTGGCCTAGAGCCCTGAGAAATGAGATGACTTACCCCTGGTCCCAGCTGGTGTGTTTAAGAGGAGGGACTGGAAGCCAGGTCTTCTTGGCTTCATGGCCAGCCCTTCATATTCAGTTCACTGTGTTGCCTCTATAGTATTACTCAGTGAAGACCCACAAAGCATTCAGACATCAAGAAGAGAAAAGAAGCTCAGAGATTATGGCTTCAGAGCACACAGATGTGTCTATTAATTTTTAAATGCGGTCCAGCTAAGCATCTTTGATCAAAAGATGCCCCAAGAATAAGAGCTTCATGCCCAAAACCAGCAACCAAAGGATTCCTGTAGTTTTGTTTTCAAAATTTCCCCTTATTTTAGAATTAAAAAAAAAAACTTAAGCCATGATTTAAAGCCAAGGCTGCTTATTTTTGTTTTATTCCCCAAACCCACAGACCTCCTTTGGTGCTGATCATTATGTCTCAAAGAGAATTAATATGTTTCTGTACATGTGGGAAGATAGCAAATTTCTCTGGAATTGCCTTCTTGGGTGTAGAGAGCTCATTTGTATTGCCTGCCTTACGCCTCTGAAAGCAGTCTGTACTTTTTCTCCACAGTTTGAGAAGGGGCATTAGGGGTGGGGGATGTGAATGGGGTAGATAATTCCATACTGAACATCAGCTGGATACAACCTTTTTAATTAAATAGAGCTCATGGAGCTAATGAAATCCACAGTACCCCATAATTCTTATCAGATTTTTAATTTTGCACATTGAGCAAAGTACAGAAAGTATGCTGGACAGGCAGATTATCCATTTTTTTAAATCTAGCATCCTTTAAAATATTTGAATACAAATGATAAGTAGACTCCAAATCACAGGCCATTCCTACAGGTCATAGTGGTGATGGTATTTTCAGACACACAGACTGTTTAATGTGTAAGAATTTCCACAGTACTGTGAAGTTTTCATTGACTTGGGGGAAGGATATGTCAAGCAACAGAGTATGTATCTTGAATAATGCTGGGGGTTTTTTGCCTTAAGTTTTACTAATGACTTTTGTTTTTCTATTACATTTATTTCTGAATATATTCCTCCTGGCCTACCCTACCTAATGAACCTCCCTTTGTAACAAAGAAGACAAAAAAACAGTTAAGCATTTGAATGGTTATATAGTCATAGTTCCCCACCTCTCCAACAAGTAGAGGAAGGTGTATTTCTTCTAGCAATGCTGTTTTGTCATAGAAATGTGATATTCTCTAAATTCCTACATTAATCACTCCCAGATCAATTTCTAAATTGTTTTTTTTATTTTCTTAAGCCAATTTATTCTTCTTTCTTTTTATTTTCCCTACACACCAAAATAATAAAAAGTTTGCTCTAAGTAATTTCCCAGCATATTGACAAAGGAATAAAATTATCTGTCCTGCAACTCAGTTCAAGTGGTTGATTTTACTCTCTAAACTGCACGTACTAGGAGAAAACCTTAATATTTCTTCAGCATACAGTTGGCAAAATAATAATTCACATTTATGTACTATGAAATTTACACACTACTTTTTTCACAGCACCCTGTGAGGGAGGTTATCTGGGCATTGTTATCCCAATGTAAAAGATAAGGAAACTGACTCCCAGAGAAGGACTTATTTAAGTTCTGGCAAGAGCTGGAGGCAAGATCAGTATTCTTTCCAGTACCTTACACTGCTATTTGTGTCTTATATCATTTAGAGGAAACTTGGCAGGTAGGTGGCACAGTGGATAGAGCGCCAGGCCTGGAATCAGGAAGACTTGAGTTCAAATCCAGCCTACAAACTTACTAGCTGTATGACCTAGACAAGTCATTTTACCCTATGTGCCTCAGTTTCCTCGTCTATGAAATGAGCTGGAGAAGGAAATGGCAAACCGCTACAGTATCTTTGCCAAGAAAACCCCAAATGGGGTGACAAATGATTGGACATGACTCAGCAATGACTTAACAACAACAAAATACAGAGGGCATGAGTTACCTAGATCATAGATCTGATCTATCCTATCTCCTACTTTCTCTTCAGAAACTCTTATTTATCTTCTTCCAAATGTAGTATACAGGTGTCTCTTACTTTGAAAAAATGCATGTATACTGTTAAATTATTTGAAAAACTACTTTCTATAAAATGAATCCCATTTTCCCAGCTTGTTTACATTAGAAAAATCAGTTTACATTCCTGCCAACATGCAAACATGCAAACATGCTCATACCACCCAGCCCATTTAAAAAAAAAATCCTCAAAAGGCCCTGAGTAACAAATTTACATCACGGTAACTGTTTCATTTGGTTTCATGTTTTTTCCTATCACGTAAGTACATAGATGTCTTCCAAAGATACTTTCTATCATTTTATATACTTTATCATTATACACACACACACACATACACACACACACACACACACACACACACATACACAATACATACATACATACTATGAGAGGGGGCCATCTTCAGTAGTCTTCATTATTTTGCCACTGGACCCAGATGACTCCAGAGGAGAAAGTGAGGCTGGTGACTTTGCATAGCCTTTCCTCACTTAAATCCGTTTCACTTGCAAGTCATGACATCACTTTCCTCTTGCCATAGTCCTCTTCAAGAACAAAGGATAAACAACACCATACTATTACATAATATATCCCATATACATGTATATTTATTTATGTATACATGTATGTGTATATATGCATATATATGTCATTATACATACTTTATATCAGTGTGGAGCATCTCTATGGCATTTCTTTGACACACTTGGATGCGAAGAGATGAAGTACTGTCCATATTTTACTTGGGTGGACTCACAAAGAATAAAAGTTAGCATTGGAAAGAACCTGCTTTCAAATTCTGCCTTTGATGCCTGTAACCTCCATGATCTTGAACCAGTCTGTTAACCTCCATGGGCCTCAATTTGCTCATCTGTAAAATGAAGGGACTCCACAGATGACTTCTGAAATCCCTTCCCAGCTTTCATTCTATGATCCCAGGAACCTAACTGGGTCGGGAAGGGAGGGAGAAATTTTATTTTTGTTGTTGTTGTTGAAAAGTGTAGATTGGGGGTAGCTAGGTGGCACAGTGGATAGAGCACCGGCCCTGAAGTCAGGAGGACCTGAGTTCAAATCTGGCCTCAGACCAAACACTTGACACTTACTAGCTGTGTGACCCTGGGCAAGTCACTTAACCCCAATTGCCTAAAAAAACCAAAACAAAACAAAAAAAAAAGAAAAGTGTAGATTGTAAAGGCTGTAGGAAGGAAGAGTTCTGATGGATAAAGACTGGTCCCAAGCAGAAAACCTGGAAGCTGGCTATCCAATCAGGGGAGGAAGGTCTATAGTCATCTAGTTGGGTACATATATTATAATATTCTTCAGATAATATATGATCAACCATGGAAGCAGTGCCAAGGCACCTGACTTTTGCTTGGCATGGTATTTGATGTAGATTGGGAGGTAGCAGGGAGACCCTAAGTGAGGTTTTGTAACTTGTGACTTTAGCAGGCCTGTCAATCATCCTTTAGCTTTGGATTTATCCTTCTCTTTTATTTTAATAGAGCTGGCAAGATAGTACACAGAATCCCAAAGCTGACAAAGTCCTATGTCTTTATCTGAATTCCTTTCATATTTGCTATCTAGACTATACCACTTGACACCATCAAGCCAATTCAACAAACATTTATTAAAGGCCTGTTGTGTTCAGGGAACCATGATCAGTGCTGAGGATACAAAGGTGGGGAAAAAAATGATACAGTCTGTTCCTTCAAAGAGTTTGACAATCTAATGGGGTTAAGACAGGTACACAGAAAACTACAAAACAAGTCAGAATGTAATAAATACATAGGCATAGTTAAACTGAAAAGTGGCATGAAAGATCTAAGGGAGACATCACTTGTAGCTGTCGGGGTAGTGGGGTAGGGAAGGATGGTGTATTTCAGGTTAGGCTTCATAGAGAAAGAAAAATGTGATTTAGACCTTAAAGAAATAGAATATCTCAACAGATAGAGATGGGGAAAGAGTCTCTTTTCTGGGCGTACAGATAGCATGTTAAGATTCCAGGAGGGAAAAAGAAGATAAGACAAGATGAACTATGATTGTCCATTTTTTTTTGTTTTTGTTTTTCTTTTAAGACTCGGTTTCCCTCTCTTCCTTAAGTTAGAAATGCAGCAGCCACTCACACATGCAATACTAATACTGATCAGCATAGAAACTGTAATCTGCCCCAGGTTTCTTACCTTGACTTCCTTAGGCAGCATGGTGGCCCCCCACCATGCTAGGGGACTCACCATATTGGTGCCTGTCTTATTAAGGACACCCAATTGGTTTTCATTGTACTGCAGTTCAGAATTGCCAAACACCAGCATCGGGCACTGTAGGCATGTGCCACCACACCTGTTCTAATTGTCCGTTTTGGCTGGAACATGAATACATGTAGTTTTAAATAGAGCTGGAAAAGTGGGCTAAAGCCAAATTGTGGCAGACACTAAAGTCCTCAGCTAAAAAATGTTTATATTTTGTACCTTCCTTAAAAAAAGAAAAGAAATATTAAGTACATACTATATTCAAGGCATTGTACCAGAAATCAAAAATACAAAAATATTTTTAATAGACAAAGTCTGTGTCTTTGAGGATCTTGGTGATGGAAATGAGAGGATTTAACAACTAATTGGATGTTGGGGGATGAGAAAGAGAAAAGAGACAGAAATTATTGAGTTTTATGCTTCGTTAACAGAAGAATAGTGATATTTACAAATATTGAAGGGAGAGAGAGAGAGGAGAGAGTAGAGTGTTCAATTTTGGCCATACTGAGTTTAAGATAAATGAGAATACCCAGAGTGAATATATCTGGTAGTTGGAAATGCAGGCCTAGAATTCATAAGAGACATTGGGGCTATAGGTATGGATTTAAGAATCCTCTGCATTCAGGTGCTCAGGTAACTACAAGAGCATGTGGTATTATCAAGGGATAGAAAATTGTAAAATAAGAGAAAAGATGAGAAAGCTGGGGTGATGTCTGGAAGATAACGCCATGGAGATCAGTGGAAATTTTTGAATTGTATTATTGTACCAGCTCTACAGCCTAATGTAGCATAGAAGAAAATAATTTTTTAAAAGTAAAAGTAGATTCAAGAGACACAATAGCGAGAGCATTTTCCCCCTTTCTCCCCTCTCCCTCTCCCAAAAAAAAGTCTTGTAAGTTTCTAGATGCTTGTCAGAGAAGGAAAGGAGAAACAGGACAATCACTTAGCTGGGGAGGAAGGGGAGAGGGCTAGAAGTGGAAAGATGTTGCAGGATCAACAGATGCCTTTTATTTTTTTCAGGTAGGAGAGACCTGAGCATATTTCTGGACAGGTGATAGGGGCCAACATAAAGGAATAAATTGAAGATGCAAGAATGAATCTAAATGACCAATGGAATAAGGTCCTAGAAGAGGAGGGAGAGGGTGAGATCAGGGTCACAGATGGAAGGAGCAGTCCTGTTGAGGAGTAGGGCCTTATTGCATACTGTTTTTTGTTTTGTTTTGTTTTGTTTTTAGTTATTTCATATGTGCAAAGTCTTGGCTCCCAAATGAGAAGGGGTATACTTAGCCTCAAGGTCTTTTATATCCCCACTTTATTAGCATGGTACTTGGCACACAGAAGATATTTAACAAAGACTTGCTGACTGATTGACTTTCCAAATGCCACATCCCATGACCTTTTCCCCACCTCCAAACTGCTTCTTCCTTGTACAACATTATACCACTAGCCATTTCATCTTGATTGGCTCCCACAGTAGCATTCTTTACTGGTTTTCTTTCTGCTTCTCTGACCACTGCCTCTGAGTCTCTCTTGTTTCACCTTCTTCCTTCTACCCCTTAAGTTTCATAGCATTATAACAGTAGGAGCAAGGTAGCAGAAGCCAGGATGATGAGTAGCCTCTCAGCTATAAGAAATATAGGTTAATACTATTCCTCAGGGGGAATTTATGACTTGTTCTCTTGAATATTAAACTGCATTGGGGAAATTTCTCTTAAGCAAGGGCTAGCTCTACCTCATCTACTATAAAAAGCACTAGCTTGGCTAGTGGATGGAAGATGAGACAGAATTTGAAGTTAATGAGTACTTTTCTCAGCTCTGAAGCTAATGTGATCATTAATGTGTAACATAAATGACTGGACCTTCCAGCAAGGAGAGGGTTCAACTACCACATTGGAGTGTTACAAGCAATAAGTATTGATAGGTAGATTTGCTAATAATTAAAAGCATATGACCTTAGAGTTAGGAGAAGTGAAAAGATGTATGAGTTGATCTTTATTGTTTTGATCTCATTCTTTTTGAAAATACCAATTTGAAAAACATAGCAGATAAGTATACCAAAGATCAGTGTTGTTTGTATTCTCAAGCTTTGGGTAGGGAAACACATCTTAATAGTGAAGAATATAGAGCATGTTGTTTAGGGAAAGAATTGAAATGCCACTGAATATCACATTAAAACGATTGAGAAGCTTTGCCCCCGAAATATAGCTTATTGTCAAAAATGAATTGAGCATCTTACAGAAATACAAGTCTAGTAATCAAATATTCATTTCTAGAAAAAAAGGACATTGCTCAGAATCACATAAAAGCATGTCACAGGCCAAGATTTCTTTATTATCGGAAGCCCTAGATAAGATCCTGGTAGAAATAGTTGATTGTTGAGGATAATCAAATGGCAGTGATAGATGCTGGCGAAATTAAAATGTCAGAGCAGTAACTTATAGTGACTGACATGTAAACTACTAGAATCAGGAGAGAAGGTGATTTATCTCTCCTAGTTTTCTTTTGCTTAATATACAAGGGCTGTTAGCTGGCGGAGATTTGCAAATCTTTAATTACTAATGGTGTGTCATATATCTTGATGGGGTTGACTTTTAAGTTAAAAAATGTTTTTAATCTCAGCAGCTAAGCACAGGGGGAGATTAGAAATTGATTCAATAGTCATCTCTAAAGGAAGAAAAATGGGCTGTAGAAAAGCATGCATTATTCTTGGAAAGATGAAAGGTTTCAATCCCAGATGTTAATCATCCGCTTTGCTGACCACTGAGAAAAAGGGAAAAACCAAACAAATCTTTTTCGTTTGCAAACCACTTTCATTTTTGTCATTTTTTTTCCCCTTTATTTGAACAATTCAGTTACCTTTTCCTTTTTTTTTTTGGTTCTTCCTCTCCTTCTCCCCCCCCCCCCATTTCCTGTCACCCTTTCATGCGGGCAGATAAAGTTCAGAGGAGCAACAGGCAACTTACCTGGGATTCCTGGGCCAACAACCACAGCAGGCTACTCACCTATGACCATTATAACACCTACCGCCCTGACCATTGCAGGATGGCAGCCTGGAAATTCCAGAAACCACCTCCTCCGAAAAACCCTCGTAATGTTCCAGGCTTTCTCCTCCTGGCTTCTAATTTAAAGTTCTTTCTCCTTCCCTCCCTTCCCCTCCCCTCTCCTTTCCTTTCCTCCCCTCCCCTCTCCTCTCCCCTTTTTCCCCCCTCTTCTCCTCTCCTCCCCTCTCTCATCTCATCCTATGTCTCCCGTCTTTCTCTCTCTCCTCTCCTTTCCTCTTCTCTCATTCCATTTTTGTCTCCATGAATGTCATGCTTTCTCATAACAATGAAAGGTTATTTCTGACATCTCTTAAATCCTTTTCTTTTCCAAGTGGACAGCCTTGGTTGCTAAGAAAAGGTATGGAAATTCAGAATGCTTTGCTTTCATGTGACAAGGTTACTTATTATAGTTCAGGCTAGTATATAGAGCTAATGTGCATAGATTATCTATGTCTGTGAAGTTCATGTCACAAATCATCTGTAAAGATATGTTGACATCTTAAATGTATTGGTTATGAAGAAGTTGTGTTTCAATGTGTCTTGTCTAATGCAAAAGATGTTAGTACCCTCCCTGTTTTTCATTGTGTGTCCAGGGTTCCAAAAAGATCATAGGGACTTGTTAGGCCTTACACTTAAACCATCAGAGGCCTGGTCTGTGTCTTTGTTGTGAGATGCCTACATCCCATCCCTGTGCCTCGTGTATATTTCTCTGACTTATAAATGGCTAGCAGGTGTGGACAACACCTCATGATGTCCAAGAATTCTCTGTGCCAAGTTTCTACTTTCTTACAGCAGCTATGGTGTCTTCATCCATCTCTCCTACCTCCATGAGTGGGTATAGCCTGAATTCCCTGAACACAGGGACGTTACCTCGAGGCGTCTATACTACCAGCCCACGTGGGACTATGATGAGGAGGAGACTGAAAAAGAAAGACTTCAAAAGCTCACGTAAGTGGAAAGGGGACTCTTTTGCATTTGGCCCGGAAGTCCGTGCCTGAATTGGGGGCAGGGGAGGGTGCGGGGGAAGGAGTGGATGAAAATTAGTGGGTATTAATGTTTTAGATACTGAGAATGATAGGGGGAGTCTCTTCTGTGTTTGGGACTAAATTATTATAGAGAGATACAAGTTTGTGTCATAGGCAGCTAAAATTATATGGTCCACATAATGAGGTTGATACCTTTGATTTTATATCTAAATCATACTGGTTCATTTGAACTTGCTTGGCCTCTAATTCATCTAAAGGAAAGCTTTTCTTTGGGGTGATGTGGTCTTATTTAGAAACGAAGAAGGTCGATTTGATTTCTCGGTTCTACTGTAGCATTCTGTGTGCCTTTGGACTTGAAATCTTCGTTTTTTTGATTTTCTATTCTGAAATGTGACAGCACTTTTTAACTACCCAGCCCAACTGCACTGAGGATAAATGAACATTAGATCTCAAAGATCATCCTTTGGAATACCAGTCATGATCATCTGTAGATGGGAATCACTGAAACAGTTAAGCACCCAAGAGATCGATCGTATGTCAGGGCTTGGAGAGGCCTGTTTGTGAGTTGGATAATTGCTGATGACGGATAGAGAGGAGAGTGTGCGTTTCTTGTGAATGGCCCTTTCTGTCCCACCATTGACTTATCTAGCCTTACATCATATTGCCTCCTGTCTACTCTCTAGCCAAACTGGACTACTCTCTACTTCTCTCTTTTTTTCATTTTTAATTTTGTAGGCAATGGGGGTTAAGTGACTTGCCCAGGGTCACAGAGCTAGGAAGTTTCTGAGGTTGGATTTGAACTCAGGTCCTCCTGACTGCAGGGCTGGTGCTCTATCCACTGAGCCATCTAGCTACCCCCAGCTCTCTACTTCTCAAAGGTGCACTGTGCTTTCTCAGTTTCTCACCTTTGCTCAGATTGCTCCCTGTGCTTAGAATGCCTTTCCATACCATCACTGCCTGATGAATTCCTACCTATTCTTTAAAGTCAAATGCCATGTCCTTAATGGACTTCTTTTATGCTGTGTGGAGGGGAGAAGTGATCCAAGTGAATACCTCATTCAGAGCTGCATACTGAGAAACTAGATGATTAAATAGGGCACCCTCTGCTTTACACTTTTAAGAAGGTTGCTCCAATTAATTGAGCTATGTTCATGTCATCCCCACCCCATTGTCACTTCTATCTTTATATACTTAATTTATACTGTGTTGCCAAATCTCTTATATTAATTTGGACTTCAATGTTGGTGCTAGGGCCAGGGAGCAGGTTATCATCTTCTTTACCCTGATACCCTAATGTCTGGGATGCTAGATTTGTAAGGACAATCCAGCTTCAAATCTCACTTCTGATGCTAGTGTGTGACCATAAGAAAGGCACTTAACTTCTCTAAAATCAGTCTTCTCCTCTGTAAAAAGAGAATGATATCTGGATGACAATATTCTGTTTTATAGGATTGTGAGACCTAAATCAATCCATCAGCAAGCATTTGTTAAATACTTACTATGTGCTAGGCACTGTGATTAGTATCAGAGATGCAAAATAAGGCAAACATACATTCTTTACTCTCAAGGAACTCCCATTCTAATGGAGAGACACCATACAAATAACTAAGTATATAAGAGGTATATATGATGTAAATGGAAGGTAATCTTGGAGGAAAGGCACTAGGAGTGGGGGTTAATGTGTTACTGGGAAAAACTTACGGAAGGTTGGATTTAAGCTGAATATGGAAGAAAGTGAATTGATGAACAGCCATTTCACTTTTATGAGCATGGTCTGAAAAATTTGCTAGAGGTGCATACCCCTTGACAAACCAGAGCATAGCTTGGGCCCATTCTCTTCCTAAGGGTCATCTTCTGTTCTTAGAAGCATCATTCTGTTCCTAGAAGGGTCATCTTCTGTTCCTAGAAATAACTTCCTAGAAGTTATTTCAGGGAGTACCTCCCACAAGTCATCCAGTACTCATTTGAGGAACCCAAGAGCTACCCAACTCTTAAACTCCCAAAGTTGCTGTCAAGGCTGAAAACATCCGTCTTAGGCTTCCCTGCACTCAGGGAAAGAAACCGAAAGCAGAAAAGACAGCCAGAGGTCCGAGGTCTAGGCTTAGGCTCAACTAGACAGTACGCATGCTTGCTGCTATGTACTTACATCTTCCTTAGGAGCTACGGAGCCCTCCCCACTCCCAACAAGAAATTCAAGAGAGAGCTGAGTAGAGTCTCAGGGCCCACATTCAAGAGAGAGGACGAAGAGAGCAAGAAATTTACTGAAACAGCTAGGAGGCGCAGTGGATATAGCACCAGTCCTATACTCAGGAGAACCTAACTTCAAATCCGGCCTCAGACACATAACACTCACTAGCTGTGTGACTCTGGGCAAGTCACTTAACCCCAATTGCCTAGCAAAAACAAACAAACAAACAAAAAAAAAACCAACTTACTGAGTAAGTGTTTGTTCCTGGTGTAGCAGCCACTTGTCTTTGATGCACACTCTTTGTCCTTCTGCCATCAAGGGGTTCAAGTATTGCTGTATCACCCCAACACTCAGCTTAGCTCCATGCACGTGTTCCATTGAGCGTATTTGACTTCCATCGCATATGCAAAACTCTTTGCAAACCTGAAAGTGCTATATGGGTCAGATGTTGTTATAATTAATATCATTCCCCAATTTCCCTACTTTGTAAGGGCCTTTCCCCCTTGGATTTCATGTAGCGCTTTGTTTTTCAAACTCTTAATGTACTCACCATCTATATTATAGTTATTCATGTTTGTTTCTTATGTCCTTAAAGGATTCTGAGCTCTGGGTAGACAGGGATTTTTTTTTTAATCTAAACTTTTTATCCTCTCCCAGGGCCTCTGTGCACGGTAAGTGTTTATTAAGTATTTATTGAGTGAAAATGGAATGAAATTACCTAAAAAAAAAAAAAAAAAACTAAACTAAAAGAAGATGGGGTCATTTCGTTTGATTCTAGATTGGGTAATAAGGTTGTTGCCACTGTCATCTGATGATGACCAACTAGGAATTCCCCTCAGTTGTAAATGGCATGACATCATTTAATATGACAACAAATTTAGTATGACAGCAAAGGAGGGATAAAACAACAGAAGGGAGACTGAGCTCTGTAAAGTTGGAAGCAAGTACCTTTTAGAATCTGGAACTTTTCCTAAATACTTCTGAGTCAACTATTTAGCATTCAAGCAAATTGCATATATAAAAATTTCTCTCACTCCGCATTTTTTCCTGGCCTGTCAAGTATAACAATATTATGATAAACATACTGGTTTTATCATTTTACCACAGGAAAATGTTAGATGCTGTATCTTTACCTTTTCTTTTTTTTTACTTTCGATTTACTGTCGCCAAAACTAGAGAATAAAATAATACGCAAAAACTTCAATATATCATATGGCACATTTGAACAAAGTAGAAATAAATTAACAGACAAAAAAGTGTTTACTCTCTGTTCCCTTCTAACTTTTTAAAAAACCTGATTCAATAATGCACATATACTGAGGCATTACTATATGTAAGGTACTGGATATACAAAGACAAAAAGAAAATAAGCACTAGACTTGAATTTGGGAAGACTTGGGTTCAAAACTTGCCTTGGAGACTTGCTACCTGTGTCATCCTGGGCAAGTCACTTAACCTCTAGCCTCAGTTTCCTCATCTATAAAAGTAATGGATTTGGTGATCTATAAAGTGGATTTGGTGACCTTCAAGGTTCATTCTAGTTCTGAATCTATGATCCTTTCATCCTACAAAGTGCTGTTACCTTTACCTTTGTTTTTATCCTACCTGTGATATCTTCAGAGTCAGCAGAAGATATTTTGCTAGTTACTTATATAAAATGATTTTACCCATGTGCATTACCATATTGATTTTTATGGATATTGTCAATATGGATAATATGGAATATGTACCATGTACATATATATATATGTGAATACCATGAATATGTACCATGTACATATATACCATGCTAATCACTAGAAAACATGGGCTCATGCCCATGACAAGGAAAAACATTAAGAAAAATGACTAAGTTTCCATTTGAATTTCTATTTTAAAGGCTGTTATTTATGTTTAGCAAGAAATTCTTCCCAGTTAAATTCCTCCATGGTTAGTGGACATAAGATAAAGAAAATGTGCATTGGTTTTCAAGCATATTTAATTTCATGGAAAGAATTCAAGCTCTGTCGTTTTCCTCTAATCAACTCAAAATTGTTCTTAGATTAGTAAATGATTCTTCTTCAGATAGGAATGTAAGCAAAACAACAATCCATTAATTTGCTAATTCCCTACTCACCCTTTTGGCCATTAGCCAGAATTTGTTATTTTAAAAGAATATACTGAAAGGATTTGTTTTAATGTATTGCAAAAGTACATATGTCTGCATCTGTTTTAATCATATAATAAATTTATAAGACAATGTGGCATAGCAGATAAAGACTTGTACTCAGGTCTTCCTGATTTTGAGACCAAGACTGCCACTTACTGACTTAACCTTGGGTAGATAATTTAAACCCTCAGTACCCTATACAACTCTAATTAATAAGGGTTTGTAGAAAGAATTGACTGATTCCCCAAAAACTGAAAGGAGATGGGATCGTTTCCTTTACTTAGCAGATGGGGTAGGAAGATTGTTGCAACTGTAGTTGATCGTGACCAGCTTGGAGTTCCACCCAGTTGTAAATGGGTGTGACTTGGGTAGATATCAGTCTACACAGGCAGAGAAAGTTCCTCACCAGAAGCTCCCTATATCAATAAAGTAATAATATATTATTATATATACAATATATAATAATATATAATATATACAATAATAAAGGTCTAGTTAACAAAATTAAGAACTAAATATGTAATGATGATCAAATGCTGCTACTATTTATATGCACTTATACAGGAACATCTGAAAAATTAATAATATCCCAAATTCTGACAATAAAAGAATGTTATAGGATGCT